TCAACGTTTCAGACCCCAAGAAATTACAAAATGTAAAAAAATTGTTTGTCCATGATCTCGAACTTAGGTACGTATGTATGCTGCTTTGCGCTCTAACTCGCGAACGAGAATGCGTATTAATAAATTGGTCAACTTAGAACTGATTAGATTTTTTAATAGATCTATCGAATAATTACGACGAGCTGGTCAAAAAGTACTGTCAAAATTTGTTTAAGAAAAAATTTTCACAAAAAACTTCAAACTCGCGTATCTCTCTTAATTTTGGAATGGGCTACACATACTCCTTAGTTCGCCGAGTTGATCCCACTGAATCCCCTCCCCCCCAAATTTTTTTTTTTGGCTACAACCTTGACGACGAGTAGTGAGGCGTAATTACAAATCCGTCGCGTCGCCTCAATATTGAAATAAATAAATAACTTACCGGCCGATGCGCAACAGCGGAGTTGTAAGGTGTAACTCTGCGTTGATCTGTAACATAAAAATATATTTACATTAAAGCAGGGTCCAATCTATACTTGAAGTAAATAATTATATGAAGTAAAACATTATTCTAACAGATATCTGATTTTAAAATGCAAGGGAGAGAGAGCAATAAGCGAGAGAGAAAGAGAGAGAGAAAGAGAGAGAGACGCGACGTAATCTCTTCTCGCGTATGCCAGAGATCGAATACCGAAATTGGTAAAACCTCGAACGATATTGTACGAATCAAGTCGCGCTTAAAAAGGTGACGGAATCCGCTACAGGACTGACAGCACAGCAAAATAAATAAATAAATAAATAATTACTTACCCCACGGTTGCCCCGCTGTCGCCCGATGCCATCCAGGCCTCCTCCTCCTCTCCTCGAGCCTCCTCCGTTGATCCGTTGTCGCATCTTCGTCGGCCCGGTCGGCCATCGGTGCACTCACTCACGACGCGACGCGACTCATTCACTCGCGAAAATCGACGATATCGTCGTTTATGATCGCGCCGCGACACTTGACGACACTTTGCACGACACTCCCGGTATTAATCTCGCGACGCGGTACGTACTCAGGTACACGGCAACGGAAAAATTACGGCGGAGAAGCGACGAACGATGCTACCTATACGATAATACGCGATCCGCTTGACGCCCGTGACGCCGACGTCCCGCAGCCCCCGCAGGTAGACGCTAAAATGGCGGAGAGAATTTCGTAAATCACGCGGCCAACTTCACTCGTCACTCGCCACTCGCCAGAAGCAACCGTCGCGCGTCGCGAGAACGCTACACTTGCTACTTGTCAAGCAATTTTGGTAAACTGCAATTTTAAACGTACGACGTTAACAGAGACTGTGATGGGGCCTCGGATCGCGCTAATTAAACATGTAACATGTAACGGCGCGGCGTTACTTCCACACTCGTATCTCGTATCTTTCATTCGTCTTCCGAAAACGATGCGGACGACCCAACTTCACTCCGAAGCCGCGCGACACGACGCGAGGCGTGAGAGGCGAGAGGGGCGAGTCAAGTTGGCGGTTGAGACCAATCATCCGAAAGAATGTGATCGAAAGTCAGTATTACCGAATACGATATACCTCGGTATCCGTATAAATTCCGCGAGACACATGTATATCACAGATCACAGTAATCCGAAATGTGGACGCGGGCGGGCGGGCGGCAGGCGCCGCGGCTAACGTAATGGCTCATGGCTTCTCGGCAGTCGGCGCACAAACAACTAGTAGGGAAAAAGTGGGGGTAGGTGACTCGGTTCTCCGAACGCGCGCTCGGCGCGCGTCGTGCCTAGTCACCTATCCCCACTCTACCCCTCCCTGCTCGCCGTCGCCGCCGTCACCGCCGAGAAGTCAAGCTGCGGCGCCCGCGGCTTTGTCCGGACGTCACTGTTCTCGGAAATCTCGGAATGCCGCGCCGATACGCTGGTATTTCGTTTATCATGCGACAAATTTTTCAAGCACGTTGCTCGGTTGTAAGATAGAAAAGTTCTCGAGCCTCTAGAAATCCTCTATCTCGTAGCGAATCAGTACGCTTGACGACACATGAAATATCAGCCTTAATACACGAATCGCCGAGTCCGGCGTGGGCGGCTGAGAGATTACGGAAAACTGTGATCTGTCGAATAATTAGTTAATACATATGTGCCTGCCTCACGGGATTTATACGGATACCGAGGTATGTCGCATTCGATAATACCGACTTACTTACGATCACATTCTTTCGGATAATCGATTTCGCTTCTCAATCGTCAACTTGTCTCGCGTCTCGCGTCTCGCGGCTCGGCGTGTTGGCGTGTGTCGCGCGGGGCTTAAAGCCTGTTCTACAATGAAAACGCAAAACTCTAGCCGCAACGTTGTCGCACTTGTCGCGACAGCCAATCAGAAGCGTCAATGGCAGAATGAAATTGCCGTCGTTTTCGGAGCGCGGATGAAAAAACGAGCGGACTCTAAATCGAGTAACGCCGCGCCGTGTTTAATTAGAGATCACAATCTCTATTAACGTCGTACGTTTAATCGCGTAATTAATCGTGTTTTGATATGTATAGTGATTGTGGTGGATAGACACAGTGTTCATAAATCGATGATTTAATTGCAGTTATCCGAAACCGTTTCACGAGCAGCAAGTGTAGCATCCGCGCGACGGTTCAGACGGTTGCTCCGGGCGAGTGGCGAGTGCGAGTGGCGAGTGAAGTCGGCCGCGCGATTTACTAATTTCTCTCCGCCATTTTAGCGTCTACCTGCGGGACGGCAAGCGTCACGGGCGTCGAGCGGATCGAAAAGCTGTTCCCTTTCGCGTGAATTTTGTTTGCCGCGCCAACACGCATTTGGGTCGAAACGACGTAGGGGGGGGGGGGGGGCGAAAGCAAAAATAATGAAAGCAAAATTCGGCGCGGCGACACGAGCGAGTGTTTCTGACAGCGTCGATTGGCGCGTCGCACAAAATCACCCCGCTCTTTCATTTCAGAGGCGAACATTTAACGCGCACGCAGTACGTACCCCAACGCGTAGCATATCAGCATATGCATGCATTACGGCGAGAATGTCAGGGCAGACCGCCACAGCCGCGCCGGGCTGCGTGCACACGGCTGAAAACGTTTCTCGTCAGGTTTGTCTTCGAAATCACCGAAGCGATGTCTCGATCGATCTGATATAGGAACGGGACGCGATGTATCACAAGGTGATGGTCCGTGGAAATCTGTCAAGCGGATATATCGCGTTACCGGTCCGACTCTGACTATATGTGTCCTCGTCGTTAAATTACAAGCAATTGCACCACCAGCCAGCGTGTGCGCTTCGCCGATGAATAACGGCCTCGAGCCTCGAGCCTCGAGCCTTTTGTCGAGAATTACTGCAGGGTGAAGACAGTCGACAGATTATCGATATACGCTCTAGTTGTCGATGCAATAACAGTCGCGCCACAGATCGAACTTTTCCTTACAGATTTTTTATTTCACTGTCTATGCCGTTTTTAGCATAAACAGAATTAGATCTATTTTAAAATGTGATCGATAGTTTTGAAAGTTTTACACGCGACTCTTCATCCATCTCTTCGATTATTTGATTAAATTTAATTATTTTTATAAAAAGCTCTGGTTTAAAACGTCTAGTATTTTTAAATATTTCATTAATATCTTATCTATTTTTAATTGATTTAAATTTTGTGTGATAGCGTGTTATTGAACCGTTTAATTCGATCAACAATAGCACTATTACGGGTTTAATAATGATTAATTAACGAGCTCTTACATGTGCTACAGGGGTTGATTGTTTCAAGAATTTTCATGGAATAATTACGTTTATTCATATCTTAAATTAAATTTATTTTTAACGTGTTTATACGAAATTTGTTTCTTGTTGCGTAACCATTTCTATGCGCGACACGAGGCTTTTGCGTGTATAAGAGAGGAGATCGTTCATCACGATAGTATCGATTTAATGTCAATTTATAAATCAGGACGGAATCAGTAAATGTTATATTAACATAAAAGTTATATTTGAATAAAATCATAAAAATCATGAATCAATCAGAAGAATTGATATGAATATTTTAATGTAATATATATTCTTTCATCGATTATTTTAAGCTTGTCGAAGAGAGGAACGTTGAGACAAAATCAAAAAGCTGCGCGAAACAAAAAAGAGGAGTGAGAAGAGGTGCACGCGAATAAAGCACGACGTGCGTCATGCGAAGTCGCGTGACCAAAGCTAGAAGTCTCGTTATACGCAAGTTGTAACACTACAAACGTTACATAAACTCAGAAACGCCCCGGCTAGCATTTGCATTGATGACGTGAATATAATGTATCACCGGGAGCTCTCGAATGCCGAGCTTTTCTCCGCAGCCACAATGGCCACTGACCACCTGTTGCCTTTCCATTTATATTTTAGACATCGTGAGAACGTCATCGCCTTACATATCCTCACGAGCGTCTCGAAAGAAAAGAAGTCCTTTTTTTATGCAAAAGGATCGACTATCGTGAATCGTCTTATTCGTCTCATATATGTTTTACACTTATATCTATAGTCCTTCACGTCTAGCGAGTATTATGCAAGATTTGCTTCTTGTGCAATAAATTTGACATTATTTTACATTATACATTTTTTTGAGAAAATTACGGTTATTATATAACCATCGAATTTTAATGATTTTAATCATAAATTCAATTATTAATGTTGAGATGCGTAGAAAAGCTTCATACGATTTCTAATTATGTTTCTACTATAATCAAACTTGCATAAGATTTAATGAAACTATTCAACTTTTTTCCTATCAAATGCAAAGAAATAATAAGCGCTATTTAAAAATATAGCTGCAGTATTAAAATCTTTGATTATTCGGTTACTTATAAAAACCCAATTAAAACAGTTTTTCAGTATTCTGGTTATAACACATGCTGTAAATAATAGCTCGTTAAGGAGGTCGTTAAAATGTGCATTTTAATCCTCGTACATCGTAAAAATCGTCATACCGTAAAAATCTCGGCGTTATGAGAGCGAGAAATTAACAATCTTCATTATCTGTTGCAGGGTGCGTCATCCAGCATAGTGGTAAAATTCGCAGACACTGATAAAGAGAGACAGATAAGACGCATGCAGCAAATGGCCGGGAACATGAGCATCCTTAACCCCTTCTTCAATCATTTCGGCGCTTACAACGCTTACGCTCAGGTGGGTCGTGTTACCGTTAATGGCTCTCGCGTTACCGCATTACCGCCCTGTTGTCCTCGTTACCACGACTCACAATCTGCGATGGTTCGTCCCTCGTTACTCTCGGAAACGATCGGCCGAAACTCGATGCCGCGCGTTAACTCGGCATGCAAAGAGGTCCCTCGCAATCACCTCGCGCGTCTTAATTGTTCCCAGGTTTCAGTAAAAAGATAAACGTCATTTTAAAATTATTATATTTATAACAGTATGCACACATAATATAATATAAATATTCATCTGATGCTATCTCAAATACAATATTCCTTTCTTTTATTAAGTTGATATAAAAATTTTTCTTAACAAAAGAGATAGATTTCATTACGCGAATGTTTTTCAAGATTATATCCTTTTGTAAAGTTTTTGTTTGCAAAACTAATAATGAAGAAAAAATATATATATATATAAAATGCGGGAGAACGGTTTTTTTTTACAATATTAATATTCTCTTTATATTGTAGCAGCAAGCAGCGCTCATGGCAGCCGCGACTGCACAGGGAACGTACATCAATCCAATGACTGCGTTGGCAGCTGGACAATTACCGCATACATTGAACGGCATGCCAAATCCCGTGGTCCCACCAACCTCTGGTAAGCCTATACCCAGCTAAAAAAAATAAGAATGCTGGATACCTCAAGATATGCAAATATTCGCGAGAGAATAACTCATTTATCGAGACATTATCTGAGATATTTTTAGGTCTTTATAAGAATAAAATTTGAAATTAAACAAAATTTTTTTGTAGAAACTTTTGAATTTTAAAAACATATATATATGTGTAACGTGGTTATAAACTGCATCCTTCTCTCGCAAAAATATTTCATATTATATATTATATTTTTTTATTACGTAGCGTTCTTTTTTTAATATATTTTAGATATGGATATGTAGGGATATATATGGGACGTATGCCTTTACAATATTCTCGTTTAATCAAGAAGTGTTTATTCGATTGTTAAGTTAATACAAAATATTGAGTTATAATGAAAATATAATGTACACGCTTTGCTAATATTATAAAGAACGTTCGTCATGATATTTTAATGACAATTTACACGAAGATTACACGAAAACACATTTTTCCAATTTAGGTTAATCAATTTCAAGTTAATCAACTAACAGCACAAAACCGATAAAAACATGCATTTTATCGAGAAGGAAAGAAATACTCGAGGGCACACGAATTATCCGCCATCAATTCGATAGCCGTTCGATTTCAGTGATATAAAACATATCTCCCATCCGGTCGCCCTTTCTCCCTGGTCTGCTTCTCTATAATTTCCCTGGATTCTCGCGCGACAGACGAGGCGTGCAGTGGGGTTGCCTTATAACCGACTCGTAAATCAATACAACATTTTCATCGAACGTGACTCAAGCGAGAGATATTGCCGGTACCGTGAAACTTTATCGAAAGCTCGTTGTAGGGGAAGAAGGAAGCCAAAGAAACGCTCTCTTCCTTGCCCTTCTTTGCTCACACCTTTCTTTTCTTTTTTTCCTCTCGGCATCGCGATGCAAGAAACAACGGAGAGGTCGAAGTGCTGTAGAGAAGTAAAGTAAGCGCGGAAATCGGCTCCGTTATACGTCGAGTCTCATCGAGCGGAAGGTAATACCGTTTGATAGGGAAATAATATTTTATTTCTCCGCCGAAGCCCCTGGCTCCGCCGCATCCGTCCGCTTTACTCCGCACTGAAGATTACCGTAGCAGCGAGAGCTTTTATTTTCGACGAAACGACGACGTAACCGCAAACTGCGTGTATATACACACTGAGAAGAAAAAAGTTGATAATGTGATTAAATATTTTCAACTGATTATTATTTTTTAAATTAAAATATTTATGTATTTAAATTATATACAATATATACGACATATTAAATCTAACATGACTCAAATAAATATTTCAATTAAAAAAATTATAATCATGCAGTTGAGAATATTTAGTCAAGTTAACATTTTTTTTTCTCAGTGCAGGTTGGCATTGACAAGTAGATGACCTACATGCTCGGCTGTAATCTCGGAAGTAGAAGTTGAATTCTTTAATAATATCAAACTCAAAATAAAGTTACTTCAGTTAAAAATAAGTACTTCAATAAACTGCAGTTTAAAGATTGGCTAGAGATTCTAACTTCTAGATGAGATATAGTTTTTGTTACAGTTTTATGAAATTCATATCATACAAAGTTTAATGAAGAAGCCTTGATCGCGTGTGCAACGTATTTTGCAGCATCGCCGAACGGTGCTCTCGCTGTAAGTCTCACCCTGTATAGAAACGCTTGACCTGCCTAACCGAATCGAAAATGCTGGAGCGTATATATCGTGCAGTCACGGAAGTTTAAGTTTACGACGTATCGTCATACTCAATGCACGTAACCGACTACGAACGACGATGTGAGTGCATGCAACGTAATCCGGGCGTTATCGTGGCATCGAGATTCTTCTCCGTTCCCGATCTTCCACTTTTCGCAGACCCGATTCGAAAGCATTACAGTGTCGGTGTTCTCTTTTCTTTATCCGACAGCCAATTGTGACGTCTCTTTAGGGGACTTCTGAACTCGCCTCGCATCGAATGGGAGATTGTTGAGAATCATGTAATTTCAAAAAGTTAAATTAAATTATAAATTATTATTGTCGTGTGCCCTGCGTGTTTCCTGTAGTCATGTGTTAACTCGATAGAAATATACAACAGATGTTGCCCAAACATAATTATGTTTCATTACCTACGCCGAGTCATATTGACGTGACACCAAACGTTGGTTATCGGCGCGATCAATGCGTTATTAGCGCAACGCGAGGCTTTGATCGCTGATCCGAATCGCACCGTTGACACAGACAGGAGGCAAACTATTATCGATAAACACGACCTTTTCGCGTAAACTAGAATCGTAATTCAAGAACAAGTGTATAGCTGCAGTAATATCGTATAGCAAGAATCGCACGTTACACAAAAGTTGCATGAAATGTACAAAGAGGAAGAAAAATTGAACGTAGCTTTTTGACTGAATCGACAGCTCCACGATATTAACTCTGAGTAAGGTTTTAGTCCATGAAATCGAATTCATCCGATAGTTCGTAATTCTTCAAATGTGCTGCGCGAGGCATACGGATCGTAAACGACCTTTTAGACGACCGACCAGTTATATGTTACATATAATATCTGTCGCAGAGGAAAAGCGAAAAGAGAGAAATAAGAAAAGCGGAGAGAATTAAAAATTGTGTGCGTCTCGATTAGATGCTTCGCGCATAAAGGATAATCGTGGTCGGTGTTGAAAGTGCAAGAGGGTAACCGGTGTGTACTGATCAGGTTTGCTCGTAGGTACCGGCACAGGGCAACCGGTTAACGGGGCACTACCGTCGTTACCGTCGCCAACGATGCCCAATTTTAACATGGCCGCTCAAACGCCGAACGGCCAGCCAGCAGGCTCGGATCCAGGTGTCTACACCAACGGAATACCGCAGACTTATGCGGGACGTGAGTATCAACTCAGGCGCAGCGTGCCGCCCCTGCGCAATACCCGGCCAATCGGCGCGGCGGCAAACTTTATTATTCCACGGGGATGTAAATAACTTCGCGCAGGCCAAGTACCATGCCAAGTACGCCGGGCGGTATATACTTGCGCGTCATACTTTTCCCGTACTTTGGCGAGGAAGCGACGTTACATTCATTGGCGTTTATTTGCGAGGAGAGCGAGGAATTAACGGCGACGTGTATGGGGTCCATACGCGGACGACCTACCATTAATGTGGGATTTTGCAGGTTCTTGCTAAGCGCGAGATTTACGTTCACGCAAGAGTGACTTAGCTCCGGCAACGAACAATTGAACTCGTAACAAGTAAATGAGTAAAAATTTATGGAGATCTTCTCTCTTTATATGTTTTTTCGATTATTCTCGGAGTTCTTTAGACTGAACCTGGGTTTTTCTTTCCAGAAAATTTATGATATATTGCATCTCTAGAAGAATATTGTCACAACTTGAAAATTTACAATTTTCAGGAGAAAGAAAAACAAATTTAATTCAATTTAGTTGTGACAGTATTCTTCTAGGGGTGCGATTTAGATAAAAGATAAAAGATAAGTCACATCTGGATATATTGATCAAATTAAACCGTAGAACATTGATAAATTTTTAAAACGTTATTTAAATCAGGACTTTGCATATTATAAAAGCGATGAATTCCAGCGATATTGCAACGTACAATCATTCTTATAGTCAATCCTTCATTAATCTTCGTCCTTTATCGCCATTCGGGTAGTCATTGCTAGTACGAGCGTATAGTCGGTGAAAATATCGAGCGGTATCGATTGGCCTGGTGGATATTGCGACAGGGGCCTCTAGGCTAGGCCCCTTTCCCTGATAAGAGCTGAGCTTACTGAAGTGTAGATGCCCTCCATCTGTCCATTCCAGCGCAGGGGTTGGCCAACGGGGAGGCGGCACTTCAGCATGCCGCCGCGTATCCTGGAATGCAGGCTTATGCTGGAGTGGCCGGTAAGTGTTTCTCTAGCTTCAATTTTTATCTCTCTACGGCTTGTCAAGATGCTGTCTACCCTGTCCGTGTCTTCCGTGCAATGACTGTAGCGCGTTTCGTCCATCCAGCTCCACGTCCAAGCAGACTCACGGATATTATCGACGTGAAAGTAGACGCGCAATAGTGAGACGAATACGTTTTTGTCCGTCGTTCGTCTCGATAGAGTTTATTCTCAATCGAGCAAATAATTTCACGTAAACGGTGATATTGCATTTATCATAATTTAATATCGATCGATTATGAATTATTGTATTTGAACGGAATTATAACGACACAGAACGCAAATTCTTTCTCCGTAAATTTAAAATAGAAATACACGAGTGTGTATTACCGTACTTCTATTACATTCCAATCACTCTCGGTAATGAGAGGGGCGTTTAACAAATTCCCGCGTTTACGCCACTCGATCGAATACCGTTGTTATGGATGTGTTTTAACGTCGTTCCGTAATTTCGTATTATCGTAACATTTCGCATTATCGCGGAATTCGCGGCATCAGTTTTAACGCACGGTAGATATAAACACTTTGCGTACTCGTCTCGTCCCGGATGTTGCCTATCGCGATCTTGAGCAGGTCGAAAAGCGTGCGCGCGGGATATACGTCGGAGAGATCGTCTGTATACGTAAAAGGGAAAAATGCATCGGGGAACGTCCAACGTTTACGTGCTTTTATCCGGGCGCCGCCGTCGGAGCACTTACCTGCGAAAAAATTCGATTTTCGCTGATCGCGTTGCTGGTTGTTTGCATGCAACTATGGGCCGCATGCGTATACACACCGTATATGTACACGTCATACATGATCGTGTACGCGTCAACGTTTCGTTTTATAATGCTTCTGCTGTGGTGCTACGATGTACTTCGATGTCCTTCTAAATGTACTTCGTGTACATATTATATTGTAGTTTTACACGTTTACACGTATCCTCCCGTGCATGCTCTCCCTCACCAACGCCAACGGCGAAATTATTCGCCATCGACCGTCGACTGTTGCAGCGTCAAAGTGCAGCGCAAATTATGATCCAATAGAACCCGGCAAAGTGGATGATCTCGTTTCACGGATAATCAACGTCTCGATGGACCTATACTTCTATTACATTCCAATCACTCTCGGTAACGGGAGGGCGTTTAACAAATTCCGCGTTTACGCGTCCACTCGATCCGGATACCGTTGTTCGCTTATCGGATGCGGAAGTACAATCGAGAGCAACGAGAAGAAAGGAGATGTCATCTCGTGTCTCGCCCGTGTCACCGACCACGTCCCCCCTTTCGTGTCTCTCAACGTGCCCTCCATCGTATCGGCGGAAACTCAACAAATTCGAGTCATAACAAACGTATGATGGCTCGCGTATGCGAGCGCGCGAGCACCGCCGTTCGTATTTACCGAGGACTCAAAAGCGGTATATTTTTTTTTATGTATTTTCGGCCAGTGTACACATACGCCATCGAGATCAGCGAGTGGAAAAAAAGCAATCCCGGAATAACGGCGTACCTCTATCTGAGCGTGACGCGGCCCCGACATATGATGGCGTATTTATTTCATACGCCAAACGTTGATCCATCGCGCACCGGCGGGGAGGGGGGGGGGGTAACGTCAATCGGAATATATTAAAGCGATGTTTGCACGGAAATAATTAATTCCGGGGCGAAAATTCGCCTCTGCCGATCTGAGAGCGGTAACTCGCGCGCACGCTCCGCCTATCCGTCACAAACAGGTATCAATCACGAGCATTTTAAATATTTATCAAGCTATAATTAATAACGACGTACTTGCTTTCTGCCTCGTCGCGTGTAGCGAAAACAGTATAATGCCGGCTCGCGCGCATTTATAGCGAGATCCAAATTTACAGACTAACCAATTGTCATCAAACGTATGCGATCGCATCGCGAATTAAAATATAACGGGCACTTCTGTTTAATGTGAAATATTTCGCATTTCAATTCTCGTTGATCAGAAGTGATATTGATACCTATTCGTTCTACGGCCGTTTTTTTTCCCCTCCAATTTCGTATAAAATATCATATTACGCGGCAAGTTTGATCAAACTTTTAAATAAAATTTTGTTATCTTAGAATCTCATTACATCGAACGATCATTAATGTTTTGACGCGATCAACATTAAATACGAGATGTTATAAAATTTCGTCGTAACAAAAAGCTCGTTATTTTGAGATCCTCCGTCGATTCGTTGTAATATGATATTAAGCAAACGCTATTACAATAATGTCTCTCCAATTTCAGAACCTTATTCCATACGAATCGTATGTCCTCTTTGCGAAATTCGCTTCCGTTTTAACGTTGTTTGTCTCGGGACGCTCCTTTCTCGATTGCTTAAATATTTAATTTCGCAAATTGCAACGGGATATTCCGTATACACAGTCGTGTGTGTACTTTTGCTACATCATTGCGCTAAGCAGGCGTTTCGTATCCCATTTTAATGAGGCACGTCGTTTCAAGAATCGGCTTTGAAGAGATATCTGGTGTCGGCTAATGACGCGCCGGATGCAATGCTGCATTTTCGCAGGCTGCGCGATGGTTTTGCGGTACAAAAGTATCGTGTTGAAAGTCGCGCGCGGTACGATGAGAACGTTGAGAGACGAATATCCTTGTCGGCAGAAACACCGTGATGAATGCCGCCCGGAATCGCCGCTGATACGAGACGAGCTTTCGTATCAGCGAGTCGCTTTTCGCTCGCTTTTACACCGACAGGACAAACAGGCCACTCGGCTAGAAACGCGATTTCCATATTTCGCGTTAACGATGAGATTATGCGGGATCTCCCAAAAATAACAGTTTCGCGGAGAAAATTTTGCTGAAGATCAGCATTCGTTATATTCATCGGCATCTCTCCTTTGAAGCACTTATCTTGATAATCAAGCTTATAAAGCTAATATTTTCGAATAAATAAAGTCTACTTAAATTGGATAAACGGATTATCTAAATTGAAGTTCAAAGGGCTCGATTTTCGAGAGGCTTGCCATTCCAAAGCGAATAGAATCTGTCAATAATATCGAGACCCGGAATAACTCGCATAATTCGAATTGCAGCATCTCATGGTCCACAGAATGACGTAGAAATGGCATTCGCGTTCTTTACGTTTAATATTCTCCTCTTAATGTCGACGCTTTGACCTTTCTCCCCCTCCTCCTTCTCGCGAACGAATCTTCGGCAAATCGCAAGAATAAATGGTCGGTGTCCGATTTACGTGTCCCCGACGCTTCTGAAACGTACGGTCATAAATTACGCCGTTGTAATCTGTCTAGCGATGGCAACGCAATTTCTGTTGAATCTGTTGACGTTTATTGGACTGTTCGGCTTTTATTACTGTCATCGTCCATTATGTATGCGCTATCGCTGCATTGAATTACGACGCCTATATTCGTTCGGCGGTTGCCGCCGCCGGTCTCGCGCTGTCGCTGGCTCTTATACCGTCGACGGCCGACAGCGGATCGCAGTACGGACTAGGAAAAGGACGAAAAGGAAAAAAAAAGAGAGGGTTTATGTTTGGGGGACGGATAGGCAATGGCACGCACAGATCTAGATGTGGACAGATCATGATGTACTTGTTATTTGTTATTGTCGCAGCTTACCCCGCCGTCTACGGCCAGTTTCCTCAGGCTATTCCTCAGCCGATGACCGCGGTGGCACCCACGCAGAGGGAAGGTAAGTACAACACGCTCATCAACGTCTAACTGTTGACTGTAAACACGAACGTCTGTAGACCTGAGATTGTAGACCCACGTCCCGTACACACGCCCAGACACGAATTATCCATCGTCGGCGCCCAACGAGGTGCAAGGAGTTTCGACTTCTCCCAAGTCGCCGCAGCAGACCGTACTTACCGCGTAATTGGACATCTCGCAAAATAAAGCTAGGTGCTCGCTTTTTCCCGCATAATTCGATTATGCGAGAAAAAGTGACGATATTTGAGTAAATTGATCCAGCCTTGTGTTCCGTTTTGTTTATCGCGTTCGTCATTTCTAGTATAACAACGACCGATGATTGTCCAGAAATACCGAAATTTTTACATTATTTCTAACATTGCGAATACCTGCCAGGTTTCTCTTTTATCGAAAGAAGGTCGTTGTTTCAGAGATGAACGTTTGAATTCGATAATTTCGGTAATATCAGTCTCCATAGTCGCACGAAAATGCGCTTAATTAAAAACCACCGGTCCGAATAGAAGAACGCGATCGATCAAAGAGATAGTGAGTCTCGCCTATCAAACACATCGGCGCGGACTAGTCAGTTATACTACATCTTTTGCGGAAAGATACAGGAGAGCCGAAGGCAAGGAAAAAGTCGACCAGGCAAGGCAAGTCCCGGGTTAGAAGAGGGTTGAGCGAGCCAGCGCCTAATTGCAATTAACAACTCGCCATTATTAGAATATACGACGCCTCGCAATGAGATAATGCAAATAAAACGAAAGTTTTAATTACTTTGCCGCTACGCCCGCCGGCGATCCGTTGTTACATCGCAGGATAATGGAAAGTTTACCGCGACAGCGCTACCCCGCCTCCGTTTTATCCGGCCTCAACCCTCTGCTCCGACCGCTATGTCCGCCGCCCTCTCGCTCGTCTCATCCGTTCCCATTTTCATTCCGCCTGATCTTTTCGTCTCGTCGATGCGTTCTGACGTTTTCCCATGCGTCGCGATTAAATCGTAAAGCGGTAGACGAGAAGAGTAAGAGAAATCTCTAATCGAATTTATTTTCCGTACGTGACGACGAATACTTGGCGTATTTCTCTCACCTCCTTCCCTTGGATAAAGAAAATTATTAATAGCTTCATTTTCCGGACGGACATAAACTGTACGAGATGAAATCACCTATAACACTAATCGTAAGCGATTCGCTTTTCCTCTTCTATCTTTTGTTAAATAATGTAAAATATCAATTCTTTTAATCTATTGTCGAAGAATTATATTATATTTTATATGTGTGTATCTCTTATATTATGTTCACTTTTACATGAATTTGAACAATCTACAATTCTACATAGTTGAAATGACAAATATTCTTATACTTGTTTTCACTTTTCTCTGTGTGTAAGTGTAAAATGCATTGTCAAGAACACAAATAGTTCCCGAAGTTGTGTTTTAAAAAAGAGAGCAACGTTTATCATATTGCTGACTTCTTGGAAACTTTTGTGTTAGATACAAGTTTTGTAAAAATATCAAGAAAACGTGTGTGTGCAGACACTTTATCTTTTGGAGAAACTTATGTTAGATGTCAAAGTCGTTAGGCGTGCCGCAATATCGGACGGAACCCAGGGGAGCTGAAGGGGAGAATCGACGTTATTGTCATCATTGCATGACAGTGGTATCGATCTATTATTGACTGTCGCTTCGCGAGTTTACCCTTGCTCCGTGTTACTTTAAGCTCCTTGATCATTGTTCTGGGTGTTCTACGTCTTACGATGTTTTTTCGCTGTTCGTATATACATACATTTCTTCTCTCTGACCATGACTGTGTCATAATATTTTTTAACGTTGTGCGGATAGCTCTCCTCTTCTTTCCTTTATCTTTTTTTCTCTTTTTTTTTTACCTTTACGTCAGCGTATCTCGGATGTTCATCGTTAATTCGGTGTTTCGCCGTTGCACTCGATGTCAGTGGCTGTTCTCGGTGTTGCGCTGTCGACCAATGTTGGTTGTTGCTTCGCTACGAGACGGTGATACGTGCATTGCGAGGTTTTGTAGTCCGAACCGGAAATCGACACGAATCCGTTTCGCGATCGGCAACACCGTCACTTGCGAAAATAAAGATATCGTTACACTTCAATCACGAGCAAAATAATTCGACTTTGCGAATCGAAAAACTTAAATTCATGTAACGTTATATTAATTAAAATAATATTAAGAGCTTTAACAAAATTATTTTTTTACATATTAATTTCGCGTACATATTCTTAACTAAAAAAAATGCTAAGTTACATAATATTTTAGTTGCATTAAAATTATATATTATCAAATTTAATATCTGATTATGTGTAAGAAGAATGGGAAAGTCGCGCGAATTTAGGTGTCTTGGTGTTTCACGTAACGTTTTGCTATTACTTTTCAACGGAAGTATTATAGATATAGAAGTAGACAAGGTAGTCATTCTCATTAAATTCGCGTGCACGTACCGCGTGTGTGCCAATTAGAGAGGCGAAAACCAATTTCAGGATCAACGATCGCGCACCGCGGCACGACGACGGGCTTTAATTTATGGCTCGTTCTTCGTGATTTCGTCGTCCACACCGCAATTCCCCCCCGTGCTCGCCCTCAGTCAGAACCGGAAACCCGTCGACACTCGTGCTAATTTGGGTTTCGCGTGACAGCCACGATCGAGTTATTACCAGGACGAAGTCGTTTTCGCGTAAGAGAGAGGGAGAGTTTGTCACTCTTTGCGTAAACCGCAGGACAGGTTTGTGATTTCTCGAGGCACTAAGTACCCAACAACATTAATTCATAATTGACGGAAAAGTTTGAATTAAATCGGTGACTCGCTCGCGGAATATCACTCTTTTGTATCAAATTCAACTACGGTAAAGAACATTTCCAATCCGCGAACGAATATTACTTCGCGAATTTTGCATAGTATGAATTACGCGACATCTATCTGGAAAGCATGTAGAGCAATGCTCGAGGATAGGAAAGTTTTATCCTTTTGAATCTTAGAATCAAGTTTTGCGACTCGAAACAAACTTTTGCAAACGCTGATCGCGATGTGCTATTTTCGACAACTGCAATTAAAGTTTTACTCTCGGACAATCGACGAAAATCACCTCCGAATCGGATGAAAATATCCTCGTAAAACCGCCATAAAATTTTGTCCATGTCGCATTAATTCTTAAACTTTGCCGGAAAATTCGCGATGATAATCTTATCGACCAGCAAATATGTTCGACGAGTCATGCTCGTGTTATCGTCGAACAGCGACATACCGGAAGTCGTAATCGGGGCTGAAAATGGACGATTATGCTCCGCGATGATTCGACGAGCATATCCCGATGGATTCCCGGAGGAATCTTTCCGCAAAAGATCTTTCGGGCAGAGACGAACAGGTCGCGATGAGTAGCACCCTAAAAGTTGAGTGGCAGCCATCTCATTACTTAAATGCGTCCGTTAGTCGGGAGAAGCTCTGGCCAAGAGAGCAGAAGTTTCCACGGTCATAATCGCCGCTAATTGACGTCGGAGTTATAAAGTTCAGTGAAATTAGCTAAATCCTTATTTGGACTGCCATTGTTCGGGTAGTCTTACCCTCTCTTCGCTTCTACCCTCGGGATTTTCTTCACCGGCCTAAATTAAACCCCGATGTCTTTGCCATTTTAACACCGGAAATCGAAAACGAGACCTACTTAAGTGGTCGTAATGTAGGGTAGAGTAATCAATTATACAAAAATTAAATTACAAGTTATGGAAGTACAGAATTGTAAAATTATAAATGTAATTTAAGAACCTGGAGCGCGTGACACATAATCTTTTACAATAATTATATTACATTCATACATCATTAACATTTGTTCCGCATTGATCTCATTTATAATCAGCGTAATATAATATGGATAAGAAGAGATAAGTGTGTGTAAGAGAGAGTTTTCGTGCAGGGTGACGGCAAACTTGTATCATATAGAATGCTCATGTAAAAAAACGTATAGCGACGGATTATCGTGTCTGGCGAAAATACGGGAATACCGCACCATCGTAATCAGTGTCATCACTATCATCGTCACGTCCATACCCATTCACTCATATCAGCATCCATCATTGTCACCTCATCCGTCATTGTGTTGTAATTCCCCAGTGTTGTGTGTGTATATTTGAAAGTATAAATACTCAACGTTATTTGAACCGGGAGATCTCTATCAATAGTCACGAGCGAAACAATGCTCGTGACTTTTTTTTCTAATCGTTTTCTCAACATTCGGTCATTTTCATGTCATTTTCTGTCATTCACTCGCAGTCTATTTAAATTCTCGCTTGATTCATGCTCACGTCATTTCGCATCATTCGCGGGAGACAAAATCATGATTGTATGTCATCATCATTTCGCACTCGGGCGGACGAGAGAAATCGGTATTATCGTCAAGAGAGTCAACCGGCAGATTCATCTTCGTTCATCGAAGAAAGAGAAAGACGACTCCAGACGAAAAAAAAAGAAAGTAATCAGAAAGAAAAGCAATACCCCACTGGCGACCTTGCTAATGGGTTGAAACTCTCGTATCGCGCGGAATCATTTATATTTGCGAAGGAAACAAAACTCATCCAGAACTAACATTCTAACTTGAGTATTATACTTCAAGTTTAGATGTTTAGATGTGCTCTGATTTATATGGTAGGATGCTCTATCTCAGGACCCGAGGGCTGCAACCTGTTCATCTACCACCTGCCCCAGGAGTTCGGTGACGGCGAGCTCATGCAGATGTTCCTCCCGTTTGGCAACGTCATCTCCTCCAAAGTCTTCATCGACCGAGCGACCAACCAGAGTAAATGCTTTGGTAAGTGCGGGCGGTAACTACGGGCAAATTTCAGAACGACCAGCGACAACGAAAGATACCTGATGCACCTTAAGCCAAGGTAGGACGAAGGACGTCAACGTTTCGGTGCCAAACAACGTCGTGGAAGCAGATATATAAGATCATATTTTCGAAATTTGAATATCTCTATTTTTACAATGTACAGTTATACGATTTTATTTACGATAAAAGCTATAGCAAAAAATAACGTTGAAAGATATATGTGTGTGTGTGTGTGTGTACACATGTCATTCTCACAAAAAATATTTCAATATATTTTTGCTTTGAATCGTATAACTGGACGCAAAAATATAATCACGACGTACATGAATATGTCTGTGATTATTATTATGACTTTCGATCAGTCACATGCTACGGTGCTCTAAATGACTCTACACGTTTCCAATCAGAGAGTGGTGGATTAATCATGGAAATTTAATTCGTCTCGTCCGTATTAGCGGACGGACCGGGCAGACTGAATATGAATGCCCGTTTCAATGGAACTGGAATCAAACTGCGCAGTTCTTTTTTAGAGACTATGCAGAGAGGACCGAAACAGAGAATGCGTATAAAAGCCGCTGGCGTTTCTTTGATTAATCGTATCCGAGAGTATGAGGATACAGATAATTGGACGATTCCATTCGCGTTCGCTCGGTCCTTGGTCTATCTTCGCATTCGTCCACGTATGATTCATATATTTCCGTCCGTGTATTTTGTCTCTTCCTGTTTCAGAGACTCGTCATACCCCTCCCCCAAAAAAGAAGGCGGGCTCTCAACGACGCGTCATAATTATTCCCGCAACGGGGAAAAAAATGTGCAGAAGTTTGCATCCCTTTGAAGGCATTTTCCTCGCCGCGATCAATTTAACGAAAAGACTCTTTGACAACAGTTTTTGCCGAGAATTCACGCAGTATAATTATAACCACTGCGATTGGACGAAATTGTTCTCCTACACGAGTTTTTTTTTTTTAATATATCGTGCGATGCGAAAACTCGGTATAGCTTAGCTCTTCCTCACAATTAACTCTTTCCGTGGAACGAGAGAGAGAGAGTTAAAATAATCCGGGTGTCCCTCGGCCCTAAAATAAAAGTAATTTGCGGAGCAAAGAACTATGGGTGGATGGAGGACGATGGGACTCGGTCAGGTGGTTTAGACCACCATGATGCCGAAACTAAAATGAGGTCGACGTTAATGATCAAAATTGGCTTAAAACGAGAAAGTCGTGATGATCTTTCCTCCTAAGGGTCTTCGTTATCGTGTATCTGCCCTTGCGGTGCAACTTGGATAATGTCCAGTCCACGAATGAACATTTTTTATCCCTCACGGAAGATCTGGTTCGCCTAGATTGCTGTTTAATTCCTAAATAGTCAATACTGTCCTCAAAATGTAGCAAATATTTAAAAATAAGCTATGCTTTTTCTTATTACATACATAAATAGTATATTTCCCTATGTATAATTATAGATGTTATTATGATGAAATTGATTTTTTGTTGTTGTTTTGTTGTATTATATTTATTGTACTGCATTTACTAATAATCAACGTTTTAGTCATATAAATATTTGACATTTTTTCTTGCCATTATATGCATTAATAAATAAAAATTATATTCTTACATGATATCGAAAAAAGATTTTCATAAGGGACGGAAAATCTATTACACACTGCAGGATTCAACGTTCGCTATTTTCAGGTTTCGTGTCGTTCGATAATCCAGCGAGCGCGCAAACAGCGATCCAAGCGATGAACGGCTTCCAAATAGGGATGAAACGATTAAAAGTCCAATTGAAGAGGCCCAAGGACGCCAGCCGGCCATACTAACCCACGTCCTAGCCTAGAAAATCTGGACGAGTCGCGCCCTATGTCGTAACTTACAGAGTAAGTTTTTTTTATACATTTCTTTTCTAAGTTTCTTTTCTCGTGAAAAAGAACACTTTTTCTGTTTATGCGAGAACTTTTTCTGTTAGACATTTTTCTTTCAGTTGTGATAAAATTATTAATTTTAAAATAAAAGTATATCGATATAACTTTATAATTCTATTTATAATTCTTTAAGTAGTAGCCTTATTAATTTATAAACGTGGCAAATAACTTTATTATGCATTCAAATCCCAAAAATTATACAGTATCGTCGCTCTGAATTGCAGATGTCGTCCGAGAACGTGAACTCGATGGACGCTCGACGATCAGGAGTGACGAGTTGAATCACCGTTACAACGCTCTCCGCCGTAACAACTTAGTATACTAGCTAGTTAATTCATTAGAGGATAAAAATTTAGAAGTCAGTAGGACAGCAACGGCTTCAACGTTGTTGAAGTTGTTCGTGCGGCGGCGGCGAAGAGGCTGAAGCGAAAGCGATGAAGGATGTTCTGCGCTGAACCCAGAGAAGAAGAGCCGAAGAGAGGAGAGAACGAGAAGTACGCTGAGACGACGTTTCCCAGATGCTCGGATAACCGGATAATCTGTCGATAGGCAACATCGGGCTTTCCTCTGTCTCCTTTACGTCCATTCTCACTACAAAATCTGCAAATTTCTTTCTGTCCTCCGCGAGTCTAGCCTCTGGTCCCTACTGCCAGGTGAAAGATTACGTTCGAGCTCGAGGACGAGGGCGCGAATGGGCGCACGAGCGTGCAGCGAAACCTGTCGTAGAAACATTTCGAGGATCCGATTATCCCGGAGAGACCTGCCGGAAACGCTGGAAAAGTATTGAAAACTGATTCACGTCGTCCGGATATATATTCACGGCGACGACACCGTTATAGTTACACGCGCGAGTCACGACATCGCGCCGCGACGATTGTCCAGCATCAAACCGACAATAGCTATCGCGAAATTATCCCGTCGAATAAAACGCCCCTAGGAGTCCCGTCGTGTTCGTTGCCGCAGTCCGACGTAACAGCGCGGAAAAGATGCCACACCACGGCGGAGGAAAATTTGCCGAACTCGTACATCCGGTCTGATTGATCCCTCGACGAGGACTCTCGACGAGGTCGGATCGTCGCGTCCGTCGGCCGGACAGAACAGCCTGACGATCACCGTGGTATGAGAGACTGACGAATCTTTTGTACCGCATGCAGCAAATGATATGTGTAGTCGTCGCGATCAAGATCCTGCGCGCGTCACCCACGACGACGACGACGACAACGACGACGGGACGGATAATAATCTCCGCGCGACTGACGAAAGTAGGATAAAAACGCAGGCTCGTCCCGAAGACACGAGGACGAGGTCCGATATCTCTCTCCCAAAAAGACAAATGTCAATCATATGCTATACAGGGTGCTCGTCTGACGAAACGCGTCTGAAAACTTTGAAAAAAAGAAAAAGACAAAAAATACAAAAAAAAATTAAACCCAGAGAATCAAGCGGCGAACATGGGCTCAGCGCCGGTCCGACATCCCAGCCGGATATCGGGTTCTCCTTAACGTTTAAGGTTTAAACACGTACGACGCGCTGTAGATTTTATATACTGCAGATAGAGGAGTGAAAGAGAGAGAAAGGAAGTGTGCGTGAGGAAGGAGTTTGTCGCGCGTCGTGCTACGCGTCGAGGAGGAAGCGAGGAAGTCCTGTCCTACTCGCGCGCGTTCGCACGGTGCTCGTCCTCCGCGACTAATAGCTCTTATTACTATTATGGTGATTATCATTGTAATTATCGCTAAGTAAGTGACGCGCGAGTTTCCGGCCGAAAGTATAATCTATTCCGTTGTGGTTCCTGCGTGAACATCGAGAGAGGAATCGCGTGTGAGGGCGCGATCGCCCCGCCCGTCCCGCTATCGATTCCGTGGTTCGGTCCGATTTGGACGGATCGATCGACGATCGACTTTGCCTGATCGGTTAAGCATCGCCCGAGAAATGTCAGCCAGGCTGTGATTATCCAAACGATGACGATGCCGATGACGATGATAGTCCTCTTTAAGTTTTGATTAGTAATGACGCACTATATCTTCTGTTGTTGTTAATGAAATAGGAAAAAAATAGGGAGAATGGAGGAAAACCAAAGAAAATGATGTAAGAATAGTAATATTGTGTAAAATGCAATATTTATTCTAGAATCGCCTATCGTCTTTCTTTAGACTGCGATACAGAAAGGGGAACAAACAGTTAGGGAATAATATTTTTTACGTTTAATTTTATTTCTTAAGTATAAAAAAAATTGAGTTTAGGATGGATTATGGGAGCTGATTATCGTGCAATGATTTAATTGACTTATATATGCTTTATTCGATGTTGGCCGGGACTCTTAAAACGATGACAGATTTGAACGTATTATTTTCGCGAGAAGAGGACCGCGCGCTGCCGGATGTAGGTTCGGTATGCCCAATCGATCAATCATGTGTGTTCATGCGGAATTCTTGTGACTGAAATAGACAAAACATTGAACATTTCGCGCGCGATGCCCGGTCGGATACGCAGAGTGTCTCGAGCGAGTTCGCGAAAGAAAGCCAAAGAACAGAGGGAAGTAGGCGAGGGAGGGGAAGATGGGAGGAATAGGGGGTGAAAAACAGACCGAATATATAAAATACGCATAGGGTAGGTGAGCGATGGAGCGGAGAGGAAAACTCTGATCTAGCGGAAATAATCATCCATCAAAGTACCAGCACCGCAGCAATATATATACATATATATGTATATATATGTATATATATGTATATATGTATATATATATATTTATATGTATATATATGATAAATATTAAATATTATATATATATTTATATAGTATATATACATATATATAATATTATATATAAATACATATGCGTACGCATACACACACATTTACGTACGTGACGTGTGTATATGTGTATATATGTGTCGATCGAAAGGAATTAGAAACTTAGTAAATTATTCTAGTTTAGCTAAATCAACGTCTAATAATAAATTATTACGCGGATATACACGCGGGGAGGGAAACGGGAAAAGGACGAGTTTAGTGAGACGAGAAATTGTTTGGTCCGGCGCGCTGCCACGGTTATTTTATGTTTGCACATTGCATTATACATACACATTATACATCATGGACACACACATTTACGTAAATCATATATAGACACACACACACATGTACATAGATACATATACATATTGTACCTATGTTTTTGGACGAGAGCAAAGATCTTCTCGTTTTACAATCCGCTCCGCGAATTTGTTGCTCGTCCGAACATGCAACGCGCGCGCGGTACGCATGTCGCGCGTCGCACGTGCGCAATTAATGGACACCCAGTGTACGTGGCTCACGCACGTGCGCGTGTGTAATCGTGCGTGCACATGTGTGTACGTACGAGGCTAATTATACGACGGAGAGAAATGCGCTTGAAAGAAGGGCTGCTAGTTACGAATTGACGACATAATATTAATATATACATATATATATACATATATGTATATATATATAATGATAAACCAAATAATGCTAAAATGACAAAGATAAAGGATTGATAACGATAATGATTATTTATGGTACATATACATAACTTATACAATACGGTAACGTAAACATACGCATATATATTCTTGTCATTTTTAGAAGGTTAAATTTATATAATATGTATATATATGAAAAAGGGGGAAGCTATTAAGGGTCGGCAGGAGACACGGACTCGCAGCTAACCCAACCCGACAGAGGTCTCCATCGCTGCGAGTCCGTATTTTATTTATATAAATTTTTAAGAGCAAAAATGCAAAATCGGGCTCTTTAGCTGACTGTATTATTATATAAAGAGTATATAAAAAAAATTAACAAATCTATATAACTTATTTTATGAGAAATCTGGATAGGTATTACGAATCCGTAATTCCGGCCGGCCGACATGTCGAATTACGGATTCGTAATATCCAGATTTCTCATAAAATAAGTTACATAGATTCGTGAATTTTTTTTATATCTCAGAGAGACTGTGCGGGAATAAGATATTACCGCACTGTTTCGAGTGGAAAATTTCTCGTTGGTTATTTGTCGCACAAAAAACACGCACGTAATGGGCCACTTTCCACGCACTTGTAGTATAAAATAGTGTGTGTAACACGTGCGGGTTTTCAACTTCCCGCACTTGTACACAAATAACTATTTATATACTCTTTAAATAATAATGTCAAGTCAGCTAAAGAGCCCGATTTTGCATTTTTGCTCTTAAAAATTTATAATAAATAAAATACGGACTCGCAGCTAACCCAACCCAACAAAGGTCTCCACCGTGACTCCTGCCGACCCTTAACGAGTCCTTAACGACGCAGCAACTTGTGGAATTATGGCATGCAAATTTCAGAGAGCGAGAGAGAGAGAGAGAGAGAGAGAGAGAGAGAGAGAGAGAATGTGTGTGTGTGTGTGTGAGAGAGAGAGAGAGAGAGAGAGAGAGAGAGAGAGGAACGAGATTACCCTCGCGGGAAAAGCTCAACGAAATTCGTTTGAAAGAAATCGCAGACCGACGACGCAAAGTGGACGCCCAAAGATAGAAATTCATAAAAAAGATGGTGCCAGATCGCTTATATGAGTACTTATACACACGCGCATCGTGCGAATCTCCTCTCACGTGCATATACATACAAAAATACAAAGACAACACGCATACACACACACGTATACACATTCGCGCGCGCGCACACATTAAAGGACACGTATACTGGAGAGATGCTTCTATGCAAGCACCAATTGATAATATCACTACAATCTAAGCTTTTTAAAGTCTAACAGTACTATTAGCGAATATCAAGGAATGCAACCTACTCTAAATAGATAAACCATAATGAGATAACGATATAGATACATATATATATATATATAAATATAAATAATATACATATATAAATATATAAATACGAAGGTAACGGCTATTGTAACAAAAAAATACAACTATTTTATCCAAACAAAGTTTTTGCTACAACCGAAGTAGTGTGCATCTCGCTATGAAATAAATGAGACTTAACTAAAAAAAAAAGGATATTCTTAGCTCTAAGGAGAAATATAATAATATGATAATAGTATAATCTGTGAGGATCAGCTTTGAATTTATTTTTACATGACGTGATTGTAATGCTGAGGCGAATTCGATGCTCGCAATTTAATGTTCCGAATTCTGGGAGGCGACGTGCTCGCGCGCATGCAAAATCCCAGACGTCAGAATGTACTCCGCGTCCGAGAATCGAAGACGCGATTCTCGTATCAATTCGAGGCACCCAATCCACCGCGTAAATTCATTTGCATCAACTAAGCGAAGATTGTCGGTTGCACAGGTCGGTTGCCAAATGAAAATCGATACTCCGAATAGTTCTGGGATGCACGTACCACTTATCTGGATGCAAACGGATTCCTGCGGTTTCTCGATCGAGCGAATCTATTCAGATTTAGGACGGAGACACGATAAACTATATAAGAATAAGACTCAATAAGACGAAGAATAAAGAACAAGATATAACTTTACAATAATGTACAATAAGATAGATCGTAAGAATTAATTAATTAGGAAGCAAGTATAATTGAAACGTAAAACAAACAAAGATCTACTTTTCCTATCAAATTCTGGCGTGTGAGCAAAATATCTGTGCTTCGTATTGAAATATTGTTTATCGTCCGGTTGTCGTACTTATTTTTCACTGCTGTCGTATCTTATTCAGCCAATTCATCGTGTCTCGGCCTTTAAATTTGGAATCGTCGCGGCAAATCGCGAATTCAATGGTTCGACGCGCATCTTTGTTACGAACGTCCATCGATCTCGCGCCTCGGATAGCGCCCCGCGAACGAACGACGAGCACGCGATCGGATTCGTGTTGACGTGCTATTTCCTAATTCCTAATTAATCGCGACTCTCGCGCGAAAAGCAGCGAGAAAGCAGTGCGAAATCGCGACATTCACGGGTCGTGCTTTTCTCCGTACCGGCCGATCGCCGTTGTACGCGCGCGAGGAGACACGATAGGAAAAAGACGAGAATTTCACGCTCTCGCTCTCCGGGAGAAGGGAACGAACATCGGACACACCAGCAGCACCCGCCACCGCACTCACACGAAGAAGCAGCCAAAAAGAAACCTATCAACCCTCACGACACCGCTATGCCGCGTTGTTACCAAGTCCCAATTAGACGTAGAACCATAAATTGGAATCAAGTCACACGCGCCGCGATGCGATCCGGCAGCCGTGGTGTCGGTGATACTAGGAAACAGGGTATGTTTTTTGCAATTATTTGCGTATAACTTGTAAAAAAGAAGTGAAATTAACGAGAAATAAATACATCTTCATGTGTACACGCAGGATACGCATTTACATGTACACGACAGGCACACACACAATATATACACACACGCACACATACCTACATACATGCAGATTCGCGCACGCATACACAGGGGTATCGCAAACACGCGCCAATCCACGAGGGAGCTTGGGAGCACGTATAAAACATAGACACGAATGGCGAGCGAGGCTAAAACAGTTAACTAAGGCCGCTAATCGTACTACGTACTACTTCTTAAATATACGAGTAAGCTAAAACTATGTATGTCGTCGTAGACTTTAAGCGCGAACGTTAGAGACTCGTCGCAGATTTCGGGAGTGAATTTTCATCGTCACGGTTTGGGAACGAAGCCGAGTTTTTAGCGGGCCGTCCTAGTATCGCGTATTTGCTGATGGAGCCTTAGTTTCCAATTGTCTTCGCGAGACGCGTTCGACTGGGGGCCCGTTCGTTCTCGCGACCTCGGAACCTAGTCCGTTGCGGGGTACACGAGGCCGCTGGCCACCGGCTCAGGAATATGCGTCGCGTTCTCCGGTATAAGTGAGCACAACCCACGCTCGTTCTTCCTTCCCTGTCCCCCGTGTAATTCTCTCTTCTCGCAATCTGCTTCTCCCCGTCTATCTCGCTTCGACGTCGCGATCGCTTCCTCGCCATCCCCGGCCATTCGGTAAATCGACGAGGGAGTGCAAACGGACCACGACGACAACTCGTCGTGACCGCTAGTTGTAATTTCGCCGTTCGACACGATGTTCAGGGCGACCGATGTCAATTCTTTCAGGTACGCTTACGCGCTGTTACACGAGAGCGACTGAAAATGCGCATTTTTGTCCTTTTTTCTTTGGCGTAATGAAACTTCACGAGCCATCGAATCTTTCATCGCGCAATCGCACACGTCCTCGCGAGAGATCTGTCTCTCACGCGGTTATCATCCCGTGCCTCTCTACCCGGCCACTACTTCGATCGACTTATCCGGGACCAATCGTTCCTTATCACCCCGAAGAACAGTGCGTTTCCTATTGTTATGCTACGCGACACGTGAGAAATCATTTGGATATGCGAACACGCGGTTCGAATTACAGCGAAGTGTATTATTTCCCTCGAAGGCACGGTTTCCTTCCTCATTCTCGCTTTTTCTCCCCTCTCCCTCTTTCTCGGAAAGCACACAAGCCCGCCTTGGACCAACGACACGCGAGATGACGAGCGTACGGGAGAACGAGGCTTTTCTGCACCGCGTTTTACGATGTGAACGACGAATTTTAACGATGGGGAAGCAACTTTATATTCTAGAACATTAGAAACTCTACGTGTAACGAGCTTAACTTAGTGCGCTGAAATATACTTTGTAACACGAAGTTTCCAATTTTCAAAGAGTCTTTTCTTTTATAAAGCAAATGAGATACTACGTTCGTTAAACGAGCGCGTGTCTTTACGCAGATTGAGATCCAATGGTT